AATCTTACAATAAACTAAAGATCATTGCAGGGATGCAGTTAGCAGCCACATTGTTATTCACCAGGACCTGTTCTAAGCCACGAATCTGTGCAAACTGTGATTTTGCATGGAAAAAAGGAGATTTGGGCAGTGCAGGTGGGGATTCAGCATAGGCATGGCTCAGGAAAGGGCTGGTGATGTAAGCTCCTCCTAGCCAGATATTTCTTTACCTACATCATCTTTACCCTTCTTAGATTATTGTCCCTTAACATTTTGAGGAGGTTGAGGGAGGGAGGTCCACCTTTTGTAATTTCTTCATGCTGTGTTGGGACATTGGCTTTGAATAGCCAGGATATGAAAATCCCTTGATAACTGAACAAAAGTTCTATTGGAGGAGCTAAAGGTTTGCCTTCATTCATTGTTAATGGCTGGAATCCTTTCATGACCATCATTTTTACTGTTGGATTCTGGAACAGAAAAATTTGACAATTAGGATAAGAATACATAGGATGAAAAGAATGGGGGCCGGCGCCGCAGCTCAATAGACTAATCCTCTGCCTGCGGTGCCGGCACACCGGGTTCTAGTCCCAGTTGGGGTGCCGGATTCTGTCCTGGTTGCCCCTCTTCCAGGCCAGCTCTCTGCTGTGGCCCGGGAGTGCAGTGGAGGATGGCCCAAGTGCTTGGGCTCTGTACCCCATGGGAGACCAGGAGAAGCACCTGGCTCTTGCCTTCAGATCAGCGTGGTGCACCAGCTGCAGTGTGCTGGCTGCGGCAGCCATTGGAGGGTGAGCCAATGGCAAAAGGAAGACCTTTCTCTCTGTCTCTCTCTCTCACTGTCCACTCTGCCTGTCCAAAAAAAAAAAAAAAAGAATTGGGAGTAAGCACCATGTAAGAGAAGGGAAGACATTTTTTACCGCTTCCTAAGTAGTAGAAGCCAAGAAAGTTCATGACCAAAATCATGGAGCCACTTGGTTTGGTTAAAAATAATTTTGATATCTTCTTCCATGAGCCTGCTTTAGTTAATGTAATTGCAGCAGGTTTTATTAATCACTGCACATACTCCTTCCTGTTCTGCCACCAGGTAATCTAAGGTTAGTTTGTTGTTTTCATAGCCATTTTAGCTAGGGAATCTAAAGAATCCTGTAGTTGCCATAGGACATGACCAGCAGACTGGACTATGTTGGCCAAGGCAATAGACAAGCTTTTCAAAGCAATTTCATGGTATGTAGCAAGATTTTCTCCTTTTGCTCTTGTAGTGGAAAAGTTTTTCCTGCCAATGACAGTTTGAGGAGAAAGATAGGAGAAGTAGGAAAACTATGTCAGCTGGGAAATACAGCAGCTTTAATGTTTCTCTTTAGGGAGTAGTTTATGGTAAAGGTAAAACTTTTATTTATACTTTAGCCTTTTGAAGATAAACTTCAGGTCCTCAATTGGCTTACAAGAGTAGGCTGTGTTATCCTCTGGGTGTGCTTCTGAAGACTCAAGGGGTAGAGGTTTAATTCTTAGCAGATATACCCAGTTAGAAATTCCCTGAAATTTAACTGTGTTAGGAGTGCTCAGTAGCCCCAATACGGTTCTTTCCACTTAGGCAGTAACTGATGGTTGAGGGGGGTTTCTTTCTATAAGATTTTAACAAAATTAGACATAATGAGGAGACTGGTTGTTTATGATTTTTGGAATCTGGTGCTGGGAATACCTTGTTGCCATATTCTGTAAGAGCCTTTTGCACCTGACCTAAATTGATAATATGCTGTATTTGATCTTGAGTATCTGAAAGAAAAGAGGATGTTGCAGATGAGGTAGGGCCTCCCATATAACATCTAAAATGGTCTAGGCTGTAAGGTAGGCTTACATGCCATTCTTATCCTCAGGAGAATAATGGGCAATAGTTTAAGCCACAGTTTTGAGGTCTTTTAGCATAACTTGGATAGAATTCTCTTGAGATAATAGTTAGCTTTTTCAACCTTGCCTGATAATTGGGTCTCCGAGAAGCATGGAAGTGGTGGAGCATTCCCAAGTGGTGGCTTTCAGCTGAGTTATTTAAAGACAAAGATGGGGTCATTGTCACTCTGGAGGCATGTTGGTGCCCCAAAACATGAGATTACTTCTTTTAGTAGGACTTTGAATACTTCTTGTACTCTTTATGTTCTGGTCACTAAGGTCTATCTATCCAGTGAAAGTCAACGAAGACTAATAAATATTTCTGACCATTTACTGGGGTCACATTAGTTAGGTTTGTCTGTCAATCCTCACTAAGGTAGATTCCTCTCTTCTGTGTAGGAGGCAGTAGGTGAAGTAGTCAAATTTGACATCTAGGGTTACTTTGTAGATAGACGGGGACAGAATTAGCTTACTTTCTTTTTAACTATATGTAGTCCTTTTCCTCCAAAGACATGAGGCAGTAGGTGAATGAAGATCTGTTTTCCTAGATGGTAAATTGAGATACTACTTTGATAATTTTTTACTGAGAAGCAATTGGGACATGACTAGATGATCTAAAGTCTATTCCCCATTGGCATCTCCAGTGTAACCGCATTGTTGGGCCCATTCTATCTCAGATATGATATAATAGGGTCTCCAGTTGTATCTAGAGGCTGGAGTATTAAAGAGTCATTTCCAGAACCACCTGAGTAGCAGCCTTCTTTTTTGCCCTATCAGCCAATACATTTCCTGTAATGATTTGTCTATTACCCTTTTGGTGACTTGTAGTGAATAACAATCACATCTAGAGGTTCCAAAATTGGCTTCAGGAGAGTCAAAATCTCTTGCCATATTTAATAAGAAAATTTTTTTCAGTCAGTAGGCCTCTTTTTCTAAAAATATCTGCATGTTCTTGCAGCATAAAGAAAGCATGTTGGAGTCTGCATAAATATTGACTCTGTGGTCTTTCTTTGGTTTTAAGGATCTAGTCAAGGTGATTAGTTTGGCCTTTTAAGCTGAGGTTTTGGTGGTAATGCCAGCTGTACTGTGGTATAGCCTGCCTTTCTAGCTTCTTCCTTCATGAAACTACTGCAACAGTGAAGCACTTAAAATCTGGATTTTTCAGAAGTTCATCATTGTAGATAAGGTATATTGGAGTAGACCTGTTCTGTGGTCTCTACAGAAGAGTGAGATAACGGTTTGTATTTTCATATGGCAGAAAAGTAGCTAATTAAAGCCTGGGTACACCTTGAGATTTACTTCTGGTGAATCAAAAAGGAGAGCCTGGTATTTAGCAAGACATCCCCCTGTTAGCATTGGTGTCCTTTTTTTCATACATATTCTTTTTTATTTTCTTGTATACCTTCCTAAAACAGAGGCATTTAACAGTAGCTGGAATGGCCAAGTCCTAACATTAAAAAAAAAAAAAAACAAAAAACAAACTTCAGCCCCTGCAATGGGTGAACAAATTAAAGAGAAGTAACCTAAAGTTCAGCTGAGTACGACTGAAGAGCCTTACGAGGTGAGGTCTGCCAATTTCAGAGTGATGTGTCTTCAACTTGTATCATCATCTTAGTGGAGAAACATAACTTCATTTTGGTGAAATGAGATTTGTTTCCTGACAGGATTAGTAACAACATTCACTGAATTTCACATTCTCCTTTTGTGAACTGTGAAGAAAATGAATGGAAGCTAGAAGATTAGTGGGATTCCAGGTCCAGCTACAGATGGAGTGATGATATATCAAGAAAGAAAATACCTATATTTTGATTTACAAAGCTAACAGCAGATTTAAATCTGAAACTTACACCAAAAAGGAAACCTGTTAAAGTGGAATGAACACTATGAGAAATGGTGACTTGATCAGCCTCACCCTGACTGTTGATGAACAACTTAATACATTATCCCTCTTAGTATTTTTTTTGTTTGTTCTACTTAATAACTTTTGGTTGAATTCTGTAATCAATACACAGTTATTCTTAAGTGTTGAAACTTAACTGAAAAGTGATCACTGTTAAATATAAGAGTGGGAATAAGAGAGGGAAGAGATGTACAATTTGGGACATGCTCAAGCTGACTTGCCCCAAACGGTAGAGTTAGAAACATACCAGGGGATTCCAATTCAATCCCATCAAGGTGGCATGTACCAATGCCATCTCACTAGTCCAAGTGATCAATTTCTGTTCACAATTGATCATAATGAAAGGACTAAGAGTCAAAGGGATCATATAAACAAGACTAGTGTCTGCAAATACTAACCGACAGAATAAAAAAGGGAGAGAACGATCCAACATGGGAAGCGAGATACACAGCAGAATCAGAATGGCAGATGTCTTAAACAGCACTCTGGACTCAGAATCAGCCCTTAAGGCATGTGGATCTGGCTGAAAAGCCCATGAGAGTATTTTAGGCATGGAAAGACAAGACACTCTGGAAAAAAAAATGACCTAAATGGAAGATCTCTGAGAGTGAGATTCCAGTGGAAAGAACAGGTCATCAAAGAAGGAGGTACCTTTCTCTGAAGGGAGGCGAGAACTTCCACTCTGACTATGACCTTGTCTAAATATGAACAGAGTCAGTGAACTCAAAAGGCGTCCATAGACTTGACAACTCATGACAAGAGGCTAGAGTGATTACTGATGCCATAAACAAGAGTGTCAATTTGTAAAGTCAACAACAGGAGTCACTGTGCACTTACTCCTCATGTAGGCTCTCTGTCCTTAGTATGCTGTACATTGAGATTTAATGCTATAACTAGTACTCAAACAGTATTTTTCACTTTGTGTTTCTATGTGGGTGCAAACTGTTGAAACCTTTACTTAATATATGCTAAACTGATCTTCTGTATATAAAGAGAATCGAAAATGAATATTGATGTGAATGGAAGGGGAGAGAGAGCGGGAGATGGGAGGGTTGTGGGTCGGAGGGAAGTTATTGGGGGGAAGCCATTGTAATCCATAAGCTGTACTTTGGAAATTTATATTCATTAAATAAAAGTTAAAAAAATAAATCTGAAACTTACAGACCAACTATACTCCAACCTTTTCAAATTTCAAAAATACAAAAAAAGTTACAAAAATATCTTAGAAAAAGCACCAATCTCTTGAACACCTTTAGCTTCATGTGGAGTTTGGACTTCAAGATGATTGTCTAAGGTCACTTGGGTGATTTCCTCTACCAAAAGTGCTGCAGTAACTATTTCTGTCAAGCATCATATTCATTTTGTGGCCACTGAGTCCAGTTGTTTAGAAAAGTAAATCATTGTTTGCAGAAGTGAATCCAATTATGTAGTGGTACCACAAGGGCTACTCTTTGCAGTTTAGCTACACATAGGATGAAGGACTTGTCTAAATTAGGCAGGGAGATACCACTGTCAGAAGAACCTTAATCTTTGGAAGACCTCATGTTGTTTTTTTTGCTCATTCATTCAAATTGATCAGTTTCAGGACCATTTAAAACCTCATATTAGGGTTTGGATATCAATTTGATTCCTGGAATGGACATCCTTTAGAAGCCTGCCTTTCTCAAGTATGTCCTTAGCTATTTATTGTCCATGGAAGCTCTACACAGAGTATGGCTTCCTTTCACTTATGTGAGATGGCACAATTTCTCTCGGTCAAGTATAGTCCACAGAGGCTATTTCCTGTGTAGAGTCTGCACATTGGTTGGGTAAATGCTATATCTTATTTCCTTAAAAATTAAGATCCAAATGGTGTTTTTATCTGAGTCCTTCTTAGAGGGATAGAAGATGAGATGATCACAGAAGATGAGAATATCATCTCCATATGGAAAAATTACTTGACTTTTATTTGAGCTCAATAAGTTAGTTGGTCAACGTTTGGCAACAAATGAGAGATAATCCTAAAGCCATGACAAAGACTTCCAAGTAAATTAATAAGGCATATTTGAAGATGTATCAGTCAATTCAAAGAACGTTACAGAGAGTCTATATGTAAGGAGGAAGCATCTTACAGGTTGCCTATTATTAAATATCCCAAATGCTATGTCTAGCATCTGGTTCGTGAAAGTTTGGGGTCCTATTGCCTGCTTTTGGAGTTCCTTCCAAATATCAGGCTGACTCTCTGATGAAATGGGTACCAAGCAAGAAGGGGTGCTAAGTTCTATGTTAGTATATCTTTTTAAGGCAAACAGTTGTCCCACGAATAAGGCTAGATTCTTCTTATGTTGTGTTACCTCTATGATTTTGTGATAACTTACGAGCAGGAAACCAGAAGATCTCTCTGCTCTGAATCTTCATGACCTTTTGGAGAGTTCCTATTGGATCTTTTTGTGGCATTGCTGTGGCTCCCTCACCATACTGATTGAGCCACCAAGGAGTCATTGGGGCCTTGGGCTTTGGCCCAGATTCATTGTTTTTCTTCAGAGGTACAATAAGTGGACAGGAGGATGTGTAGGTCACCTTAGGTCAAGTTAAAGGCTAGAATTAGGATCAGGAATTCCTTAGTCAACTTGGTAAGGTTTTCTGAAAACATCTCTAGCTTATTGATTTAAGTGAATTATTGATAAAAGGGCATTTACTCTAATTGTACCAGTATCACCAATAGCCTTCTCTCTTAGAGGACAAAGTATACTTGTCCCAAAGGTTAGCTTAGAGGAGGATAGGTTGGGTTGTAAGGTGGAGATGTTGAGCTAAAAGAAGATGAAGGAGAATTGAGGATTGGGGGGGGTGAGATGACTCAGTGTCCCCTAAGGATGGTTCTTGCAATGAGACAACCTGAAATTGAGGTGGTTGATCCTTGAGTGGTAACTCAATATTGTTAATCTTGCAGGTTGATCTACTGCTATTCTGAATCTGGTGTTTCTAGATAGGTGTAACCTAACAAAGCCTAAAATTTCCCCTAATGGTGGGCTTTGGAAGAGGGCTGTGAATAAGGAATTTCTGACCATATTTTTTTGTCTGTTACAGAAGGGGGTCATTTTGGAGGATAGTATTAATGTTGAAGGTCTTGTTTATTGGCCAGGTTTCCCAATTCTCTAGGTCATATTATGGCCAGGCAGTGCTATAAAATAAAATAAGCTTTATTGTTCTAAAAAATTGTTTTTACCCATTTTTTAAAGTGGCATGCTGGGAGTAAATCCATGGGTATAGATGGGGGAGTTTCTCATTTTTAAAGGAGCCCCTCCCTGGCCACAACCCAGGGAAAGGAAAAAGAAGATAGGAAAAGAGTGCATTCTGGCTCTATGAGAGCCTTGTCAGTAGTCTATGTCAGATCTGACTTCTCATTATTTCTACCATATCATTATGTGACCTGAGCGTGTCAGTGGGCCCTTTTGTGGATTGATTTGAATATTATGTTCTAATCTCAAATATGCTCTTTTGCCAGAGTGCCATCAGGCCCCTTCATGTTGCTCAAGTGTCCATGGACACTATGGACTTCCTTTGGTGGGAGTGGTATTGATTATGAGACATTTTAGATCTCATTTTTAATGTTTTAGCAAGGTGGTATCATGCTTGATGCTCCAAGTCCAGCCTGTAGTGGCTTGATATGACTGGTAAAATAATCTTGAAAGTTATCAATAAAGGGATGGTAGAGAGTTCTTTCAAAGAATATGGAGAAACTTTCAAATGGAGTATTTCTTAGAATACTATAAGTCATGTCACAGGACCACATCCAGAACCCTCAGTATATGCTTTGTGATAGGCTATGGGAGACAACAATTATAACATATGATGAAGTAAACTGAACTCCAAAGTGAATGGGGGGGGATGTTGGAGTCTTTTTGTTGTTGGAGCAAGGTAGGAGAGGTTGGCCATGTGCCAAAGGATATCCCATTGGGACAGCGAGGGATCTCAAGGCAGGATGGTCAGAGGATGACAGAATTTATTTCCCTTATATAGGCAGAGATTTACTGCATGCGGATCAAACATCTCATCAGTAAGTGTGGTAAAATATACTGTAGAATACTCATGCAGAAGAAGCAAAAAGGCTGGAGCTTCAGAACGCATGAATGAAAGAGAGATTAGTTAATATGGAAAGTGCACCAGATGGTGATTAGAAACAAAGAAATCCCCTGTGCACTGCACTGTCTGGGAGCAAGTCCCAACCTCTATTATGAACTTTCTTAAGTACCAAAAGTTTCTAATCTGCACAGTGTCAGCTGTTGGCCTTCCTACATCCAACTGGGGGGAGCAGATTTGGTTTTGCTAAGACAAATGAGCTCAAAACAGGTCAGCTTGTCGTGAAAAAGAAGAGAAAGGCAAAAATAAACCAAGACCCAAGTGCAAGGGATGTGAGAGTCAGGAGAAAGACTCTCTGGCTGATGTCTGAATAGGCTTCCAACTCTTGCTCCTGGCTTGTCAGATATGATGAGTGACTGGGTCTAGGTTCTTGTCTCCAAGAAGAAATTCAAGGACAAGACATGGATAAAGCAGAGATGCAATATTACTTGCATGCAAAATCAAAGTACACACTTCAAATTGGAGCATGGATATGCTCAAGATAGGACTGCACTGAATAAGGTTTGCTTCTGTCCCTTTATATGAACCAGAGGTGTGAGAGTGGTATTGGGATGAGGTTTAATTAAATATGTATAAGAAATGGAGGGTTGAGTACCTATTAACCATTTACTTGCTCTTTTGTGGAAAACTTGGGAGTGGAATGGCATCAGGTGCATTATCGGAGTAGGTGTGTCAGCCATGGTAGCTTTAATATAATGAACTTATAATGAGCTAAAGGTCATCATGGGGACACAGTTGGAAGCCATGTTAATTGTTTTTTGCCAACACCCATACTAAGTGGTAAAATCACAGAAACTGCAGTTTTCTGATAAACAGAAAGTGGAGGATTTGGAGTAGTGCAGGCAGGGCTGCAGGAAGAGGCCAGTGACCTCAGCTATTCCTTGCAAGCTACCATCTTACCTACTTCAAAGATGTTACTTTATCATGTCCTAACATCCAATGTTGATATTAAAAAAAAATTGATACTAATCTGATTTTATTCATTCTCAGAAAATGTTTTATACTTTCTTTTTATCCTTCATACTTGAAATTTCACCATTGCATTTATTTTCCCTGTGGGTTTAGGATTGTGTTGATTGAGCTTGGTTCTACTTCATAATGATGATTGTGGGATATTTGAGTATCTATCTGTTTTATTTTAATTTCCAGATCCTAATAGATTTGATTGTACTATTCTCAGCAAAGTCTTTCTGCCAGTTGTCATTGGCAGACCACCAGCTTCCAAAAATGTATGGAGAGACTTCCGCTGTTTCCTATGGTCAGTAGTTACTGTAGACACGACCCTGTCTCTTCATCCTCACTGTTGCTGGTCTAGCCTATGTGCAAAGGCCACTTTTGCCTGCTGCTAGCACAAGTAGAAAGGGGGCAAATGTCACCTGGCCTACCTACTTCAAATACAGTCACTAAATTAATCCTTATGATAGGTATATCAGCAACATTTCTTCTTGGATTCATTTATACTCTGAGATTAGAATTCCCCAGACTTTAAGTCATGATTTTCTGAAATGTTTGTTTCTTTATAGGTTACATCTGCTGACAATTCTTCAAAAGATTCCTGTTGGTGTTTTCCTTTCCCTCCCCTTATTGATTTTTCTTTCTTTTTTTATAATCCATTATATTATCTCATGCTCTTTGTAAGCACAAGGCTGGCTTTGAAATCAGTATTTTAAAGGTGAAGTTTGTGTTAAGTATCAGAACATGGTAGAGTGAAGAACCAAAGAAGGGAGACATGGAAATAATGCAAATATATTTGTTCTGTATCAAAATTTTGAGAGTAGACTAAACCTATGCACTATTAATTCTGTCTTTCCATTATCATATCTGATTTTTAGCTGTTTTTGCAAAGCTCCTTATTTGATCTCCTCCACACTGCAACATTTAATAACAGCAGAGTCTGTGGAAGCAAAATGTCTTGATTATAAGATTACTAGTGAAAAACAATGTTTTTCCAGGTGCTTTTATTTACTCTGAGACATCAGTATGATTATATCTTCTGTAAAAAATTACCAAATTCACTGTACTAAAAATCTACTAAGGCATTCTTTGTATCAATAAGATGTAAACAGTACAAAAGGAATCTGCCCAAGAGTGTTTTCTGCCCCAAGGAACTAGACAGTTCATTTTCATTGTGTGTATGTGTGTGTGTATGTATGTGCCTACCTTTAAAAAATCAGTGACTTCCTGGGTTCTTACTGCCAAATTAACATGTTATGAAAGTCAAACATTATCTCTAATACAATATTAGATTCTCTTCATTTTTCTTTTAAAATTATGATTGTAACTTGCACCATTTAGACAAAAATTAGGCCAGAGATAAGGCAAGGGTGTATGTAATGTTCCTGTTCTTTGAAAATAGTGTAAGCTTATCTGAATGTGTTTAAATATCACAGATTTTTTCTGACTGCTTTGAAGGAATGTGTCAGTTATCATGTTTGGTTTAAGTAACAAACAAACTTGTATTATACTGTCTTAAACTGAAAGTACAGCAGAAGAGTGTCCAAAATCCCTTAGATAGGCCTGACTGCATGCCTTGAGTTTATGTTAAAATTCAGTAGCCCCACATATCTCATTCAACCACACCAATCAAGTGTGTAGGTAGAGGATGTATTGCCCCTGAAAATCACGATACCAAAATTAAAGAAGGAATCCCTGGACAAAAGTAAAATAGTTTATCAGGGCAATTTACATATGGGATTCCAGACTGAGATGGACAGGTGGCCTGAACACAGCTGTTGCAAGGGGGCTTCTGCAAAAAATCCACAGTAGAGGCACGATTTAATACTTTTACAAATCATTCTTGTGCTATTTTTGATGAGTTAGTCCCTTAGGCATCTGGCTGAGCTTTTTGATTGGCAAGACATGGTAATTTGAGAACTTTATGGAGAGTGGTATCAGTTAGGCTGACAGGTGGTTAGCATCCTTCTGAGAGAAAGGGGAAAATGGAAGAGCAAGCCTCAATTTGGTGTTATGGTGGTTTGCTGTCACACAGTCACTTTCCTATATGCCCTACAGAAAGCTTGCCTGATTGCCTTGTAAGCTGGCATTGGTCACATGCTCATTTGTAAACCAATCACTGGTGAGGAGAATATAGTTATTCTGATTAGCTCACATAAAAGGATCCTAGAAATGGGGTCTGTTTCCCCTGAACCAGGCATCTTTATGGGGTATGGAGGCTCTGCAAATTTAAGTACATAGAAAGAGGGGGATTGAATGGCTATTAGAGCCACAATATAATTTCTACTCTATCTTAATAAGGAAAAAAACTAGGTTTGAATATTTTAATTTTTAAAATATGTGGTTTTAGAAAATTTTAATTTAAAAATTTAAGTAGTTATATTAAAGAAAGCATCATTTTGTGAAGTCTAATATTATCTAAAAGGCTATTGATGAATAAAGGCCATTATATACTTTTTCAAAAACTAATGATGCATTTTAAATAGTACACCTTATAAAATTAAATGATAAAATATTGATGAGTAAGGTAGACCATGGAATGGCTATTACCATGCATTTATGTTTTCATTTTCTTTTATATCCTAGATACATTACAGTAAAGCAAATATAATTTTCAAGCATAGGCTGAAACACTTTCACTTTTCCCTTCCTATTACATTTAGTTTCTGCACTTGCTCTATATACTTGAGTAACCTGATTGTATTTTGGAAAAATGTGCTCATTTAGAGAAAGTAATTTGCAAAATATATTAAAATGCAAATACATTTTTGATATAAAACATAACTAGAGAAAAATAAATTTTTTCTAATTTTCAGGGAATCAACAAGTTTGTGACTACTGTGTATAATCATACTTGGTAAATATTTAGGTAATTTTGTCAAATCTTATAAAATCAAAGATTCAGAAAACAAAGTTTGGGGATTCCTGAGTTGCTAATTTCCAACTTCATTTCACTGTGGTCTGAGAAGCTGCATCATATGATTCTAATTCTTTTGAATTTGCTGAGACTTGCTTTATGGCATAGTATATGGTCAATCCTAGAGTAGGTTCCATGTACTGCTGAGAAGAATGTAAATTCTTTAAGTGTAGATATCTGTTGCATCCATTTGGGCTATAGTGTCATTTAAATCTACTGTTTCCTTGTTGATCTTCTGTCCGGTTGATCTGTCTATTTCTGAGAGTGGAGTATTGAAGTCCCCCAGTACTATTGTATTGGAGTCTAAGTCTCCCTTTAACTTCCTTAACATATCTTTTAAATAAACAGGTGCCCTGTAATTAGGTGCATATACATTGATAAACATTATATCTTCCTGTTGAATTGATCCCTTAATCATTATATAGTGCCCCTCTTTGTCTCTCTTCACAGTTTTTGTGCTAAAGTTTATTTTGTTTGATATTAAGATGGCTACACCAGCTCTTTTTTGGTTTCTGTTGGCATGAAATATCTTTTTCCAACCTTTCATTTTCAGTCTGCATGTATCTTTGTTGGAAAGATGTGTTTCTTGTAAGCAGCAAATAGATGGGTTTTGCTCCTTAATCTATTCAGCCACTCTGTGTCTTTTAACTGGAGAGTTGATTCCATTAACGTTCAATGTGACTATTGATAAATAGTAACTTTGCCCTGCCATTTGCCAAAGATATTTTCTAATATATGCTTTGAACTTTGTGTGGTCTTTTACTGCGAGGTTTTCTTCCTTTACCTTCATTCATATTTATGGCCGTGTTTCTGTGTTTCTGTGTGTAACAAATCTTTAAGCATCTTTTGCAGGGCTGGACGAGTGGCGACAAATTCTTTCAATTTCTGTTTGCTATGAAAGGTCTTTATTTCACCTTCATTCACAAATGAGAGCTTTGCAGCATATAAGATTCTGGGCTGGCAATTTTTCTTTCTTAGTACTTGGGCTATGTCTCGCCATTCCCTCCTAGCCTGTAGTGTTTCTGCTGAGAAGTCTGCTGTGAGTCTTTGGAGATCCTCTGAGAGTAATCTGACATTTCTCTCTTGCACATTTTAGAATCTTTTCTTTATGTTTCACTGTGTTGAGTTTGATTACAACGTGTCATGGTGAGGATCTCTTTTGGTAATGTTTATTAGGGGTTCTATGAGCTTCCTATACTTGGATGTCTCTGTCCTTCTCCAACCCGGGAGGTTCTCTGCTAGTATCTCACTAAAAAGGCCTTCTAATCCTTTCTCTCTCTCCATGCGTTCAGGAACTCCTAGAACTCAAATGTTGGGTTTTTTAATAGTATCCTATAGATTTCCAACAATATTTTTTAGATTTCTAATCCTCTTCTTTTCTTGGTATGACTGTATACTTTCCTGTTCTCTGTCTTCTTAGTCCGATTCTCTCTTCTGCTTCACTGATTCTTCTTTTAAGGCTCTCAAATGTGTTTGGCATTTAATCTATTGAATTCTTCATTTCATTTTGATTTCTCTTCAATATCACAATTTCCTGTTCTACTAGTTTCTGCATTTCATTTTGATTCCTCCTTAAGATTTTATTTTCACAAGAGAGATTTTCCACCCTGTCCTGTATGGATTTCTGAAGTTCAATAATTTGTTTCTGAGAACTTCTAAATGTTCTTATCATAAATTTTTTGAAATCTATATCTTGTATTTCTTCTGTCTCATCATCTTCATAATCTTGAATTGGAGTGTCTTGTTCATTTGAGGGCATCATAATGTCTTCCTTGTTCTTGTTTCCTTGGTTTCTTGGCATTGTGGAGATATTCTTTGGTTTTTCTTGTTATACTATGACTCTAGATTAAGTGGACTGTCTGCTTTTGGTGAATCTCTAGAGGCTTGTGATTGGTGTGGCCAGAGAGCTCTGTTTGGTTAAGTTTAGGGTGTGTCAACGTGACACACCCAGGTTAGGCTTGGTAAATCTTATCTCTCTCTCTCTCTCTCTCTCTCTCTCTCTCTTTTTATTCAGAAGGGAAGTAATTCCGCACAGCTGAGTGGAATTGAAGGCAGTCAGTGTCTGAGCTCTGGCCCTTGTGGGTATAATATTTGTCTGCTCTGTCCCAAGGATCACACAAATGATCTATGCAGTCCACAGTATAAGCTTATAACAGTAATGTGATGTCTTAAAATGAAGGAAATTTTCTTTTACCTCTCCAGAGAAGAGAAGTCTGAAATCAAGATGTCAGCAGGAGCACATTTCCCACAGACTCTGGGACAAAAGCTGTTTCTTAAGGCTTATAACATCCATTATTTACAGCTTCCTTGGCTTCAGGCCACTTTACTCCAATCTCTGTTTTCACATCACCTCCAGTGCTGGGTGTCCATATCTTCCTGACATTTCTAAATAAAGGATATTTGGCATGTTAAGGCTTTCACAGATAATCCAACATGAAACCCTCATCTCAAGATCCTTAACATAATTACATCTACTAACACTTTTTTCTTTTGTCTCTGGCCACATGAGGTCCAAGCCTACTGAAATGGACAAACCATTGGGGCAGCCAGAATTCAACATGCTCCACAAGCATCAGACAGTCTGATTTTTTGTTACTGCAGGTGACAGAATAAGAGTGCAGCTGTGTCTGCAAAGGGAGACTTAAGATACAGGCTTCAACAGATGCCACAACAGGAAGGCAGGGTGACTCCAACCGAGTGGCCCTAAGCAGATGCTGGATCCATTCATTACCCATAACAAAGAACTGGTCTATAAAAGGCAGCTCTCTTGGGTCTACAAATAACCCTGGAGGGAGGCAGGGAAAGTGGGGGCTGTGGCCCAGGCCTGGAAACTCCACACCCCAGAGGCTCCCAATGCCCATTGTTGGATACAATGTATGACCAGTTCTGTGTGGCCTCTCTGGATTTTGTTCATATTTCTCCTTCCAGTGAGGTTGGTCTTGTCCATAGTTCTAGCAGAAACCCATGCCCTTCACGACCCATCAACTCAATCCTCCACAAGCTGCTTGATTCCCCATCCCATCTGTGAGTGTCAATCCTACCAGACTAGGACAAAAATGAAAGCATGCATGTGTTTGATCCTTTACTCCCCTTTAATTAGAACATAGGCTCCACAAGTCCAGATTTGTACTTTCTTGTAACTGATACTACCATCGACAATCATCCCTGACACAACCTAGAGAGTCAGTAGACACACTGATAGTGAATGTGCTGCCTTCCAGACATGAGCTAGATCTTCCACAATCATCTCATATTACAAAAAACAGAGTTTCTCTTGTTGCGAGGACTCTGTGTCCAGTACCCAAGGAAGATGGCTAGGAAAGACCAGGGCACGTGATCACTACAGTCATCACAGCTTTCTTCCCTCCCCTCATCAGTATCCACACTGTGAGCTCCTGCACACATCATATCATCATGGCTTGGAAAATGGCAGGATTAAGCCTTCGGTCTCAAGGCTTTAGCTCTGGATGTATTTAATTTTTCCTTCTCACACAGTCCCAGGAACATTCCTAAAACCTACAGATCTTGTCATCTTTGGGCTTAAGATTCTTTCCTGACCCACACACATTCAGGAAAATGGGCACATGGTATACACACTTGCTTGTGCTCTGCCTTTATCGATTCCTGGAGGTGCATCTCCAGACTTCAACACTCAGCCACCACTGAACACATGTTTAATGTCCACTGGAAGGACCTGTGGGGTTACATCACTGAATAAATGCTTCATGGATGACAGAAGTGGAGGAAAATGCTTTCATCCCACCTTAATGATGCTATTGCTGGGCTGTGAAATACCTTAGAGTAAATAGATTGCATTCCCGACACATGAGTCTGGTGAAGACCAAGCAGTACCTGTGATTTGTACCATACTGGAGTCAGACTAAAGAGAATCTTTTCTGCTATTGTTAAGTAGCATGATGAGTCTAACTAAATTGAAACTTGCAGTAATGACAAAGAAGGCATGAGTTCTTCCTGACGTGGTCTCTTTAGATACAAGGAGCTGGATAGCAGGCCATTTCTGCTCTGGGAGATTCAGGAATGCATGAGCATGTCTGACTTTAGTATAAGGAAAAATGTACCCACAAAGGACATTTGAGCAATTGTAGAAACCATAAAATCATAAAGTATGATCTCCAAATACAGGATAGAAAGAACCTAGCCTTCAGTGATGTCACGGTACTGGGAGAGAAGCACAGAGGGAAGAGGCTAGTGGGAGCGGAGGGGGGTGCCTGTTGGGTCCCCCTCTGGGACTCTCTTCCACCTGGCTCGTCCTTCTTGACACTCAAACACAGAGACTTCCGGAGTCAGCATGTGCAATCATAACAAAAAGCTACTTGCTCATGTTATTCTCACTGCAAACTGGCACGGCCTGGCCTGATGCATCACCACTGCCCATGTGGACTCTTAATCCACGGGTGAGTCACAAAGCAAAGAAACAGGAGCAGAGGCAGAATACGAGCACAGTTTTACTGATAACAGGGTCTCAGAAAGACCAAGGAACAGGGAGTGCTGGTGGGCAGCAGGACAAGTCCTCCATGCTCTAACAGTGAAGATGCTGTGCAGAATTGGGTCCTCAGGTGACCATGTGAAGTCAGGGAGGGCACGGCCAATGGCCTTCACATCCAGTGGGTTCTCACAAGACCAGTCTGCCACACGTCCTCCGGCATACAGAGATGCACAACACACACACACACACACACACACACACACTCTGATGTATACACACAGACGTTGAGCTTCAGGCCTCAGGCTTCTGTAGGAATAGAGCAAGGTAGGTTTTATAGGGACTGAAAGGAGAAAGGAAGGCTTTGGTGGCTGCTACTATGATGCCAAGGGTGAGAGAGCAGAGGACTCCAGCAGCTGTTTCCCGTGCCCACAGCACCGGCACAGCTATCCCACACCCAGGTGCATCATTAACAATGCTGGCTCCTCCACAGTCAAAAAGGGCACACCACCTGAGCAGCAGGGACCCTGATGTTCTTGTTGAAGGGGGAGCTAGTAGTTTCTCCCTAAGTTTTTCTTGTCTTTCTTTTCTTTTTTAATTTGAGAGGCTCTACCCCTGAGGCTAGCTGGAATCAAAGGTCCCTGACCAAAAGCAGGAGAAGGAATGGCAGCAAGTGTCCCTGTGCCTAAGTTGAAACTTTGGAATCAGAAACGGGTCCTGGAGGGGACACAAAAAACCCAATGATCCCGACACCCAGAGTGGGTGCTGGTCCCACAGACACTCTATGGGCTCCAAAGCAGACTGGCAAACAATGAGGTACAGTGCCTAGTGCCAGCTAAGCAGTATGCAAGGACTTGGCAATGACTCCAAAGCTAGCGATCAACTGGTAAGCCAGTCTGGCTTCCTTCAGGGTAACATGATGGCTGTGTCAAATGCATATACCTGACAGCCTAAGGCTGGGACTTGGTGGGAAAGGAAGTTAGGCCAATTGCTTGTGTTGGGGCATTGGCCTCTACAAAACCAAAGTGCTCTCACAATGGTGCACATCAGGTACCCAACTTGTGGGAAGAGTAGAAGCTCCTGGATTCAAGGGGTAATTGGAACTGACACTGTGTGGTGTGTGCCCAGCACCAGGAAGCACCATGGACAACGGGAGGCAGCTCCCCACAGAGGCAGCCAGAGAATGGAAGATGACCATCTTGGAAGGAGGGGTGGTGTCCATAGCTTCGGTGTGGTCCATGGCAGCTTGAGCAGCAAGGTAGCAGAGGCACTGCCTGTTGGGGTGGAGATGACTGCAGGAGACATTATGGGATGGCCTTTAAATGAAGAAGCATCAATGAGAGAGAGTATTTTTGTTCCTGCCCATCAGAGGTCCTAAAGGTGGAGAGAAGGCCAGTTTCTGAGCTAAAGAGGTGTCTAAAAATTGGGGTGGGAATCCTTAGGGAAAGTGGGCTGGTGGAGCTTCGTGTCTTTACAGGATGTCACTGATCGAGAATGCCATGACCATTGGGAGAAGAGACAATGCATCTACTGGAATTTTGAAGAGAGCTGAAGACAACAGCATTAGAAGGAGGCGGAAGGTGGTGCCCGTGTCACTGCTCTGAGGGGCTAGACTGGGCTGAAGGGTCAGTGTGCAGGTGCACTTGCTGTGATGGCAGAAATGTCTGGTGTAGAAGTGTTGGGCACCATGCTGACAGCATGGGTCCACAGCAATGTTCATATGGCTCCATCCATGTCGCAGGGGTGGTCAAGAAAGACGAGGAGGGTAACACACATACATGGGGGTCAGGGATTGTCATCTGTAGAAGGAGGGCTTCAGAGAGGAGGGGATGAGTCTTGGGATTTGGGGGAGATCAGAAAGGGAGGTGATGGAACCAGGGATGAAGACGGAACCTACCCAATGGCCTGGAGCTAAGCGGATGAAGAGGGTTAGCAGCGACAATCAAGATTGAGGAACTGTGTGTGCTTACCTTACCAAGGCAGAGGGACAGAAAGGCTTTGGAGCAGGGTAGGCACTTCCAGCGAGCCAGTGGTGGGAGCAGCAGTTGGGACCTGCCAAGTATAAGTGGACAAGCATAGGGAGTCTACAGTCTCTGTCACTGAGTGATGGGACAGAAAGAGCCAGTAGAGAGGCAGTGCAGCCTATCTTGGTGTCTGTCCACCCCCAGAACCTCCATGTTAGCCTGGGGGTTCCTGGGCCACTCAGTGCCTCCTCCCTCAGTAGAAATGCAAGGCAATTTAGGAGGTGGGGGCAACTCACCTGGGAGTCACAGGAGCCTGCTTCAGATAGGAGACAGCAGTGGTAGCAGTCCCAGCAAGGTGAGGCTTGCAATGGCAAGGCTTCAGGTTTCCCCTCACCCCATCTCTCTGTCTCTCTCTCTCTCCACCTCTACCTTCTGTAGCTCTGTAGCTCTGCCTTTCAAATAATTAAATAAATCTTAAAAAAATTAAAACTTAAATGAAAATAAACGGATTATAAATTTCATTGAAATATGTCATTATAAAAATTAAAGAAAAATGAAAAATATATGAATAAAATATAAATGAAATACATATGATGTTTTCTGTAAATAAACTTTATAAAACTAATAAAATAAAACTTTTAAAATAAAAAATTGAAACAAATTAAATGAAATTTAAAAAGTTAAAGATAAAATATGATTAAAATTAAAAACAACAATACTTTTAACAAACTAAAAACTAAAAATTAAATTAAATTTAAAATTAAATAAAAACTAAATCTGAAATTAAAATTTAAAAATAAAATGAAAACTAAAAGTTATGAATTACAATTGAAACTAATAAAACTAAATTAAATACATGAGATGGCTTTTCTTTAAAGGAACAAAATTTTAAAAATTAAATCAATAAAATAAAAATTTAAAAATAAAATTTGAAACAAATGAAATCTTAAAATTGAAGGTTAAGATAAAATATGATTAAAATTAAAAACCATAACTTAAAACTTTTAACAAAATAAAAACTAAGAATTAAGTTAAACTTAAAATAAAATAAAAACTAAAAGTAATTAATTACAATGGAAGCTCATACAATTCAATAAAAATGAAAAATATAAAATAAAATTAAGACCTTCAAACAAAACTGATAAACTGAATATTAACAGATAAATTTCTTGAAAGATTGGCCAAAGTGAGTCCATTTTGAATTGTAAAATGGGATAGTTCTGCCTAAGATAGACACGTCTCAAGCAGAGGTCTAGGGTTCTGTTCCGGGAATCCAGACCAAGATTGTTCCAAGTGTCCTAAAGGAGAGAGGTATCGGAGGAAAGAGATTTGAAATTGAAATAAGGAAACAATCCCACCGGAAGTGGCCTCCAATACTCAGCAACCTATCACTGTGTAGGGACAACGACCTCCACAACGTGCAGCGATGCGACCCCTACAATGTGCAGCAATGCACCCCGAAAATCTGCTGCACAGCGACCACCAGTTTGCAGCAATGCAACACGACAATCTGCTCATTGCGACCACGACAGTTTGCAGCAATGCATGACTATCTGCTGCAAGGCCACCGCAATTTACAGCAATGTGAGGCCAAGATCTGCATCAATGCACCAAGCACAATATGCAGCGACGCGACCACCGCAGTGGGCAGCATAGCGGCCAGCACAATTTGCGGTGATTCAAACACTTTGGTCTTCAGCGATGTGATCGCCTCTAACTGAAGGACACGAACATCACACACTGGAGCCATCGACCTCTCTGGTCTGAGAGACGTGACCATCAGTCTGTATTGACTGTGCCACTCTTGGTCTGGAGTGAGTGCGCCCTCCGTGTCGGAGGGATTGCGATCTCTTCGGTCTGGAGGCACTGTGACCGCCTCTGTCCACAGTGAAGGTGACCTCAATGTCTGCAGCCACAGTAACCTCCACGGTCACGGGCGCCTGTGACTTCTGCGGTCCAGAGAGTCTACAAGCTCCACGACTCTGACGTGTGTGTGCCCGGTCATGTGACGAGAGCTTCCCAAATAATTGATCGGCCCTTTGATTGCTTTTTCTCCTCCTTTCCAGGCTTGAATGATGCATTAACCTTTCCAGGGTGTTACAAAGGCTTTGCCTGTGCAGGAGAAGATGTACATCTGCCATCGCATGTGGTCACCTTCTTGGGAGAGTGGATTCCCCAGATCCGCATGTTGGTGCTCAGGGTGCTGGCTCCTGGAAGAGGGCGAGCTCTTGATCCAGGCTCTTCACAGACACTGGTGCGCCTGCGCCCGGGGCAGCGCAGGGCCTGCTCGCTCAGGGACTCCATGGAGTGGCAGAGATGTAGGTGTCCCACCTCACACCTGGGACTGCTCCCGAGGGCAGAGTGGCCTCCTGGGCCTATGAGGCCCTGGCTGGTTTGTCCCCTGGTGTGGGGGATTGAGGCAGGCCTCGAAATTCTCCCCTGCCTCCACGTGGGAGGGGGCGATCGACCCGATGTGGCCTCTGCATATTCCTGGGGGAGGCCACACCCAGAGGAGCCCTGTGCTTCCTGGCTCTGGGTGTCCACCACAGGCAGGACTGCAGGCTTCCCTCTCGAGGCCCAGAGGGGCCTGTTAGGGTAGGGAGCCACGGAGGGAGGTCACCCTCTGCTTCCAGGGGCCTGCCTGCTTTGTCCCCTGGGCAAGGAGAGCTCATCTTCTCCTTTTTACCTCCTTCTCCCTTCTCTTCCGGGTGTTCTTTGGCCTGCCCCACGATGTCACAGGGGCAGGGAAGGGGAGGCCTCTTGGTTGAGGCTGCGTCTGCTCTCAGGACAGGGCAGGCCTGGGCCTCCTCACTCTGGGTGGTAACGTGGTGGCTGTATGGCTGGTTCACTCCTGGGGGCCTGCCTGAGATGGTGGCTGGGGGAGGCAGGGAGGCAGCGAACTCGCAGGGCACCAGGGAGGTCTCCTGGCCCCCAAGGCACCTGGACTAGTTGTTGCTGTACTCTCTTCCTCTCACAGTCTCCCCGGGGCCAGTGTGGAGATGGTTCTGTGATCATGGCCCTTCAAAACCCCGAAGGGTCGCTGTCCTGAGGACTGTCCTCAGATGTCTCCTCTCCACTAATGTCCAAGTGACACGGGCGTGGCATTCCCTTCCCGGAATCAGAGCCACCTGCTGTGGGGGAAAATTGCTCCTGGGCCTCCAGGGGGCCAAGATGTTCATCACTGAGGCGAAAGATGCTAATGATGTCCACCTCAGCATCTTTTGCCTCCTGGTCTTCCTCGTGGTCCTCATCTGTGGAACTCTCGCTGTCACTGGGCCCCAGGCTAGAGAAGAGACTCCAGATCTGGGAGATGCTAGAGATGTGCTTCACCTCCTCGGGCAGGTTGTCCACCCAGTGGCACTCACGGAGCTGGTTTATGGCCACGGTACCAGAAGGGCTGCCAGCCGGGGCCACCTCCTTCCTGTGGGCTTCCCAAATGGATGGAAGCTCCTCTGAGTGTGAGGTGACACTACACATTTCTGAGTACTCAGCCTCAGAGGAGCTGACAGCCTCCTCCAGGAAAGGAAAGAGGTTGATGATCTCAATCTCCTCTCCACAGGAGCTGTTTTCTGGCCTCCCTCCAAAGGCAGGGCCCTCGGTGTCACTGGGCCCTGGCAGGGGGAGCAGACCTGATGTTGCGTCTTCAGGGCCAGTGCCCTGGCCGTGCTCTGGAGGGTCTCCAGGCTGGAGGTGTTCCCCCAGAGTGCCAGGAGTGGGCTCACGGTTTGAGGGGTCATCCTCTGCCTCCAGGATCCTGGCTGCCTTCACATCTCACCGAGAGGGTCCACTAGGATCCACGGCCTCTTCCTGTGGCTCCTCCTCTTTTCCCTCCTCATCTTGCAGCTCGATGGCTCTGAACGGAGTCTTCGGGGTGCAGGGTGGTAGGGGACGCTGGCCCACTGGGCCCATCTACTGGCCACATTGCTGTGCCTTTTGGCCGGGCACCGCTGCTTGCGCCTTGTGGCTCTGCAGCTTAAAGCAGGGAAGCGGGCACAGCCAGGTCAATACCTGGCAGAACCGTCCCTGGTGATGGGGCTTCTCGGAAAGGTCAGGCATGAGGGAAGAAGCAGGGGCAGGCTCGGGGACGAGGGCAGGTTCAGGGTCAGGTTGGGGCCTGGGTTCAGGAACCTGGGGGGCAGTTTCTCTGGGAGCCTCCGCATCGCCAGACACGTGTACCATGTGGTTGCGGCTGCATTTTTTTTAAAGTTGCCCATCTCAGACCACTACTGTGGGAGCAACTGGCACAAGTGCAGGGTTGAGGGCCTGTGCAGGGGTGTCACAGCAGGTGACAATGAGGGGTGTGGTACCAGGGGGTGGGGCCTGACTGCAGCTCTCCAGGCAAGGGCAGGTGGTTGGTGGAAAGGGACACAACAGAAGGCACCAAAGGGCAAAGCACCAGGCCCAACCCCAGGCCCCGCCTGCCTTTCTAGTGCACGGGGCCGTCCAGCTGCTGGCTGCACTAATCGGCCCACCCCTGTGGGTCCTGAGAGGCCAATGTTCCAGGGATCACTCAGCCTGGCTTGGGCTCCATTGGCTCCTCTGCCCCGCCCAGAGTCTAGCTTGGGCCCCACTGACCACATGTGGCTTGAGACCTTGGTCACTGGAGGGCTGCCCTGGCTCCAAGTTGAGCTTAGATGCACCCTAGCCACACTGCCAGGCCCATCGGAGTGCCCTGCCCTGGCCCCACCCCGAAGAAGATGGGTGTGTGCCTACTTGGGTTGAGGTGCCCAAAATGGGGGAGCGGTACTCTTCAGTGTGTGGAGGTTAATTCTTGTTGCCAGTATAAATGTAAAGAGACTTTAGAGCAAACACAATCCTAATTAAATTGCCATGGCACAAAGGGTCTATCAGGTATTTAAGGAAAAGGCCCAACTTTCCCAATTAACTGTGAACTACTTGAGCAAGGAGCTGTCTGAGAGCAAAATAACTTACACACTGATCAGAGGGAAGCTCTGCCAAGAGAAGTGTGCCTGAGAACCAAAAACAGATCTGAGGCCTTCTAGGTAAGGCAGGATTTTGCCATGTTTGGATTGCCAGTTCTAGGAATCATGGCTGAGGCCCTCTATGAAGCTTGAAATATTTTAACTTTCATTCTATTTGAAAGGCACATAGAAACAGTGATCATCCATCCACTGGTTCACTTCCCAAACACCCCACAATAGTTGGGGCTGGCTCAAACCAAAGCCCGGAGCCTGGAACTCCACCCACGCCTCCCATGTGAATGGCAGAGACGTGAGTACTTAAGTCACCATCTGCTGCCTCTTGGGATTTGCATGAGCACCAAGCTAGAATAGAACACGGAGCTGGGACTCACACTAGGCAGCCCAACGTGGTCTAAAGTGGCCCCAAAGCCACCACTGTGCCAAACACTCACCCCTTCGGGGTTTCGATATGTGCAGGCAACTGCACTGTCAACTCCTTGAATAAGCATGGTTGGAGCCAAACTTGTACATGGGGAGAACCACAGGTTCACTCCCAAGTGGATTTCTTTTTCTTCCTTTCTGGAAGTGAGACCCCAATTCCCCTACTGTACAGAACAATGAGATAAACTATACTATGATGCTTCTGAATCTTCTAAGTCTGTAATGCGATTATAGTAGTCTATGATTTTTAACA